TCACAAACAAACCTCCACTTTGTAATTTGTACATATCTTAACCATTTCTCCCACATATTTTGAAATACGTTTTGAATTTTTTGTAACAAATTAATTACCTGTTAATACTTTTATCACCAGGTAGCTTCAGAACATTTATTTTTCTGGTTGAACAGTTTACAGTCATTCTGTGAAGGAGAGGATTGTCTTCGTCATCTTCACAGCAAGAAATCAAACATCATCTACCAGGTACAGGAGAGTGTTGTACATTACGAAAGAGGAATAGCCACATTGAAGGTGTGTATGCAATAAAAAACAACTGAGCATGTTCTCTTATAAGCCAAAAAAAAATCTCATTTGCTGCACTCAGTGACAGTACAATTAAATGCATTGTTCTAGTTTGTATTCAATCCACTATGACCTTGAATCTTTAATTTTTTTTCTTAGGCTGCTGTGACACCACCTTATCCTCTAGATTTCCAATGCAGATATGTCAAATTACGAACTCAAATGTTGACTCTTCATTGCCAACTACTGCTCGGTTGCCAGACTATTAAAACATGCCCACCCCCTGCCATTGCTTCTACTGTTGCCTTAGCAACTGGACAAGATCTCCAGAACTGTGGTCGTTTAGCGAGTCAGGTTAGTTATGTTTAATTAATGTCATTCATATTGTATTGATGATATGACAATCTAAATATATAATGTGATGCATGTAGAGTGTGCTCTTGAATGAAGGGTAGTTGAATATTGAACTTAATACTTTGTTTGAATTACAGATGCAACAGTGTTACATTTCATTCCAGTCATTAGCCAATCAGTTTGGAGATTTACTGCAGTCAACATTTGATGCAGATCCAGCCACCTTGGAGAATATTGAATCGTATCCTTGTCAATAAATAATCCAACCATGTCATGTTTTCTTGATCCCTCGCCAAATCACACAGCCAGATTCTGTACAGGAACAGTCACTGTACTGGGTAAAGGTTGTTTAGGAGTAGATGAGCTTTGATATGTTTTAAATATTACATCTTTTATTGAAAGCTTATCAACAAATTGCATATGATATATAATTGATCCATGTATTTCAATCAGTTTATATTATTGCCTTTTACTGAAAGATTCAGAATACAACAGAGCTGTTTATTGATGTCACATGCTATAGATGCTCTTGTGCTCAGTAATAGAATGTACAAGT